TTTATCAATTGCTTCTGGAAAAATAACCTCCTCTTGATTTAAATAATACTTTATTCTTCATATTTTATGATAGAAAACTAACCAATAAACAACTAGATCTCATAACATTGCCTTCATTGTGTAAGAAAAAGCATACTTGTTTAAATTCAGGATTATGAAACTTGTTTTTATTTTTATAACATGAGATGTGTCAGGCTTAATCTATCTTGAGTGTTGGAGTCTTATTGCAAAAAGACTCTGCTTTCTTTAGCCCACATAACTTTCACTGCAAGCCAAGTATTCCTATAGAGGAGCTAGTTTCTAACTCCCCAAGCACCATTTAAATGCTCAGTCTAAAGCAGAAGAATGACCTATTTTCACAGGCATTTTTTTTTTTATTTCTGGGGGTCTCACGTTTGTTTTGAGGCTTTCTCTTCCCTGCTTCTTTGCTTTCTGAATGTCATAGGGTGTATGATTGTTTCCAAATGTGTCAGTTCAGGTCCCCCAGAAAGTAGACACCAAGAAGGAATTAGCAGTGTGAGGGAGTTACTGAGAATCCCTGTGAGAGGTAAAGAAGGAAGAAACAGGGACAGGCAGGACAAGCCTTGGGTCACAATGCAGGTCTGGCACCTGTGAAAGGAGTGGGGAAAGGAATAGCAGTCAGACAGGAAGAGCCTCAGACTGTGGTATAGCTATGGGAAAGCCTGGACCAGCCCAGCAGAGGAAACCAGATGCAAAGATCACCCCACATGGGGCAGGAGTAGCCAGCTTTATATTATATCCTGGTGCTCATTCATTGGCTAGGAGCTGCCCAGGGACAGTGAAGCCTTGACCAAAATACTACACTGGATTTTGAAGACTCTGTAGCTGGTGGCTGTTAGATAGCTGCTCTCCTCAGAGAAGGTTCTCTCTTGAGGGAGATCTGAGCCACTCACATCCATGGCTGCCACAGTTTACTCCTTAGACTCACCTGATGTCCTTCTGCAGATTTAGGGACATCTCTTTCATGGTTTCCACCTGGCTCTTCCCAATGGGAAATTTAAAAGGGTGCAATTAATGCAATAAACTATAGCCTTTATCACTATTGTTTGCATAGTGGCTGCAAGTGATCCTCATTTTCTGCCCCCTCCACCATTCACTCCAAGTTCACCTTACCTCCAGTAACATTTCTGCCTGTCTCAGTGGCTTACTTGGTAGTGAAACTAATCCCTCTTTCAGGAGAAGTTGGAACCCCTGGTAATTATACTTTTATTGGGCTAAGGTTGCTGTGCTGTGTGTGATCTTTTACAGTCACAACTGAGCAAGAAAGTATCATGAAGCACCCAAGTGAATCACTTTGGTTCCACACACATTTCTCTCTGAAAACAGGAACTTCAAAACAGCTCTGACAATGCTAATCAACAGAGATTGTTGCTTGTCTTGCTGTCTTCTTGAAAATCTCTCAGCATTAATCTCTCAGCATGTCTTGTAAAAGCAGCCCCATGGCCTCCTGCTGATCTGGATCAAGGATCTCTTCCATTATGGTGACTCCTCTTGTCCGCTATTCACTACACAAAGGGAGTTCAAATTGCCCAAGGGGCGGCTATAGGCTGTTATTCAATGGGACCCTTGCTGTGTCTTCTAGAAAGAGTCCCTTTGGGGACCAGGACCTTAAACTCTGTAGAGCCTGGAGTTATAGGGATAGGACCCAATGGAACATTGATTGTCTCCTCCCTAACTTCATTACTTATGGCAAGTTCTCTCTTGAAGAGAGATGCCAGCCACAAACTGCCACAACTGCCACACCAGGTATTTGGTCTCCTACTTACAATAGGAATATGCATCCCTACATATTCTCAAATAGCTTGCACTACTTTCCTATTGGAGTAGAATATGTTCCCACCCCACTGACTTCAAGGTTGGTCATATGATTGGTTTTAGTTAGTGGAATGTGAGCAAAAGATTTTATACCACATCTGAGCAGAAGCCGTAAGAGGCATTGTGTGATTCAGTCAGTGCTTTTCTGTCTCTAGTGGGAAAACAATGTGTCCCAATAGAGAGAGGCTAAGTCTTGGGATGAAGAAGATATGTGGACCAGAGCCACAGCTGATGCACAGCCAATCCAATTAATACAAGCAAGGAATAAACCTATGTCATTATAAAACACTAGGGATTGGGCATTGTTGGTTATTGCAGGATAACCTAGCAAGATCTGACTAATACATTGTATACTTCCTTATCTATGATATTTTGCCTGGTATTTTCATCTTCCTCACTGCTTCTAACTAACAGATGTTTGCTCATTAATGGCTCTATTATTCTTAATGTTTTGTGGGGGTTCTGTATTGGCTATATCAGAAACATCTGGATAGAATTTTTAAAAACACAAACTCGCTGGCTATACCCATAGAGATTCTGATTCAACAGGTGTGATTTCAGTTGTTGCCTTTAGTATGGTGTCCAGGAATGTGCACATCTTAAAAACTCCCCAGGTTCCTATTGCAAATTCAGAAACTGGTTGCATACTGTATTCCACAATCTTCAATTTGCTCTGGACTAATTGTCCTTCCTGGTCTATTAAACCTAGATGTGCCATCACCTTTACTGCTTATCCTTCGCCTTGACTTGAGCAATGGCCCATGTGCCCAATACATTCCTAGCCCCATTTCCTCAGCCTGCATTCACAGCCTGGTCAAACTAAACTGGCACCTATACCTGCTCTTGTTTGAAGTACACATTGAATTTCTCTTTGAAGAAGTGTTTTTGTGTGTATGTGTGTGTAAAAGTAGATATAGGAACAAAAAAACAGATAGATGAAATTATGCTGATAAAAAGATAATTCTGAAACCAGGCAGCAAAGATAATTATCTATGGGGGAAAAGGTACAGGCCCTATTTAGGTCAAAAGTAACAGAGAAATTGCTGATATAATTATTTCTAGTAACTCTCCATAAATGCCTGTGTGCATTAACACATGTATAAATCTCCTCAGGTGGTTGTGTTACTGGGAATGAAATGACTGTCTAAATAAATGCTTAAGGCATCGTTTGTGCAATGATACAACAGAAATCAGCAAAAGACATGGAGATAAAAAATAATTTAAGGCAGAGTTAGATGACATCAAATATCTCATTTTTACAAGAAAGACCGAGATCACGACTATCACAAATTGAAGACAAACCTTCCCATACCATCAAGACTGCCCCTCACCTCCACCACCTCTATTATTTCTTAAATTCTTAATGACTTCTCACTAACTACTCTGTTTGAGTAAGCTTCTAGTTTTTGTCTTGATTGATGTTCTTTAAAAAAAACACCACAGGAAATAAAATGCATGAAAATACTGCACAGACTTAGGATGCTTACTGCAATGATATGCAAACTTCCACTTAACTGTCACTTTAACTCCATTCATACCCTGCATATCCTGGATATCACTGCTCTGGTTAATGCACTGAGATGCCAGCCACTTTTATTGCAAAGATGGTGCACAGTACATAGTGTCTAAATATCTACCAGAAATATTCAGAAAAAAATAAAATACATATAAAATATTTTTTGGTTTAATGGCAAGTTATTGGAATTAAATACTAGAATCAGAGTCTAATATTCTTGTCGAATTCTTTTTTGGCTCTATGCACAATGGATATGTAATGTCATAAGTCTTTAGGTGAAGAGGGAAAACAAATCTCATTTCTCATTATTGTTCCTACTGAAATGTTAAAATTATGACAAACATCATAATGATATGAAAGATACAACAAAGAGAATTGAAAAACCTTACCTTGAATTCTATCATGTGATGAAGGCAGAGCCAGCTAAAATTAAGGTTAAACAATTTCTAGATAAATTCATGTGTCTGGAAAGGTAGACTCAACAAGCTTTTACAATTCATGTACTCAAAGCTTTTCTTTTCTACCATTCACACGTGTCTAAGAAAAATCAGTCAAAAATTTTTAATGACATTTCTTTTTGTTTACTCTATTGGTGAATGAACTTCATAGACAGACAAAACCTGAGACAAATCTCCCTTTTAAAAATTCACATTCACATTTTTTGTCCTTTTTCTTCATAAAAAAGTGGCTATGATTTATTAGCATAGAGAGAGGCCCAAGAGTCATTTCGTATATGATTAGATGAACTTCAAACTGAGAGAGATTTCTTATATCTTTAAATTTTTGTTCAAACTTTCCTATGTAAAACTTAAGAACCTTAAATTTGGAAACTACATACCCTGAATACTTATGAAATATTGAGAACTATCTCAGGATTAGATAATATTTAAATTACCACCTCTTTATTAGATGTTGTTAATATTTTATTCTGTGTGGCCAGCTTATTAGTACAACTGTTGGTAATGTAACTGAAGGTCTCTGGAGAACTGAGAGAGGCTGCTAACTCCTTCATCAATTTAAGCAAGTGTTTTTTCCTCCCTCCTCTCCTCCCTCCCTTTCGCCTCCCTTCCTTCCCCTCCCTCAGCTCTCCTCTCCTCTCTTCTTTCTCTCTCTCAGTCACTCTCTCTTTCTTTCTTTCTGGTGTTTGGTAACAGAATTTTTATTGTGTTATTTCTTTGTTTCATTTCCCCCAATATATTAAGCAGATAAACGTAGGGATGGCTTTGATGAGTAGAGAAGAAGAATCTCAAATGCTGACCACCTGGACTCAGTCACACATCAAAAGAACCTTCTAAGTCATTGTCACAAAATCTTTGTTTACTTTTTAAGCCACTGATAAGAAAGTAAAGAAAAGTTATTGGAGATAAAGTGTGCTTATCTGGATATCAAGATATTCAGAAATAAATGTTAAGATCTTTGACATTTCTGATTACAATCAAATGGCATTTGCTTTCCTTTTATAATTTAACATGAAAGTATAGGATGTTTTCAATCTATTTGAAATTGTTTTAAAAAGCAATCTTTTATAAAAGGATATGTTTAAAGTGAAAATTTGAAATTTCACCTATTATAAACATGCTGGCATCTATGATCTTGCATCTCCTGGCTGATTTTCTCTACATGGCTTTTGGTCTGTTTTCTTTTACAGCATAGGTGGAGAAGTAGGGCGAGGCCACGAAGGAAGCTACGTGGGCAAACACTTCCGCATGGGATTCATGACAATGCCTGCTCCTCAGGACAGACTGCCCCATCCTTGCTCCAGTGGCTTTTCCGTGAGATCGCAGTCCCTGCACTCGGTTGGGGGCACAGATGACGACAGCAGCTGTGGCTCCAGGAGGCAACCACCACCCAAACCCAAGCGGGACCCCAGCACCAAGCTGAGCACCTCCTCGGAGACGGTGGACAGCACAGCAGCCAGTAAGAGTGGGAAACCCCCCGAGAGGACGGAAGGTAAAACTCACCATGCCACTTCCCCAGAAACCCTTTCAGACCTCGAGTTCAGGTCAGCATTCCAACAAGTGTCTGCCTTCCTCGCTGGGTCACATAATATTGCCTCTGTCACCCTAAGTTCTAGAAAAGAAGAATCAAGGGGAAGGTTATTTGTTGATGTGCTGTCAAGTGACACTCAAAAGAATGTGTTGCATTTGTGTCATCAGAAAAGGAAGACAATATATGAGTTTTCTTACCCCCTTAAAGCTTCAAATCATTTGAAAATTATTTTACTTAGAAATAGATCTAAAATTTATATTTTCTTGCTTTTAATAATACTATTTGTTCAATTAAAAGTATTATTATTTGTTGTTAATGGAACATTTTAATGCAGGAAAATATAAAGAGGAAAAAGCTTATAATCTTATCTTTTAGAAATAATAATTTTTAATATTTTGGTGTATTGTTTTCCAGTGAATATGAATTTATGTATGTATGTGTGTGCATACTATATATCTAAGTCTTCACTTTATAGCTCCAATTTCTACCTTTACCTGTTTTTTTTCTCAGCTATGAAATATACAAATCAAATATATCCCAGCCGCCTTGCTGGTCTATGAATATAAATTAGATCATATTAGCACCAGATCTTACCAGCTCTTTAGCCCTTACTTGAAATAGTAAGGTCTCAGCTTTCCTGAGTTTTTTCTAAGAGCTCTTCTGTCGGAGAGGAGTCTTTAATGGGCTTTGATATAAGCTGTCTTAGTCAGTTGGGGCAGCTATAACAAAGTACCATAGACTGGGTGGCTTATCAACAATAGAAACTTATGTCTCACAGTTTTGGAGTCTGGAAGTCCAAGATCAGGACACCAGCATGGTCAGGCTCTGGTTGGGGCACTTTTCTGAGTTGCAGATTGCCAACTTTTTATAAGGACACTAACCCCATTCATGAGGGCACCACCCCATGCCCTTATTACTGGCCAAAGACTTCACCTCCAGAATCATCACTTTAGGTTTAAGGTTCCAACATTTTAATTTTAGGGGATACAAACATTCAATTTGTTGCACAAGCCCATTCAGACTTTTATGTATCTGTTATGGAAAACATCCCACGGTTCCCCATGCTGCCAGAAACCAGTTTGAGGGCAGAATTCACCAAATCCCACTTACTTTCTTCTTCTCTGCCATCTCTTTTCCATGGCAAGCTTCCCTGAGCCAGCCCCTATGGTACCAAGTTTCAAAATGCTTTGCAGGAGAGTGGAAGCAGCATGGTTCTTTTCTCAACTAGGCAGAGTTCTTTGTCAGGTGGCCTCCCTCGTCCCTCACAAAAGCTCCCTGGTATTCTGGCCTAATCTTTCCACAGAAGTTCAAGTCAAGTCCACGAGATGAGGTGCCCATGAGGTGTGTACCATCTCTCTTCCTTCACCCTCAGCTCTTCTTTCTCCCTTAGTGGTGTCAGGTGCCTTAACCAAAAAACATTAACTTCACTGCATATTAAATAATACAAATAAATGCCTGGAGATGGAGCCAATCCCTCAATTCAATAAAGAATATCTCCTCTTAGCTTCAGTTTTCCCACTAAATATATATGTGCAAAAATATATCATGTGTGTATGTATGTACATGAGAGCACACATGTTAATAACATGTATGCATATGTGCAAAATTGAAATCAGAGTTCATAGAGTCTTGTGTTTTATATTTTCACTTATTCTATCATGAATATTTTTCATGGCATTCAATTTGTCAAGAAATATCATTTTTACAGAGAGAAGTATACAACATAATAATTTATTTAATCATTATCTTGATGAATGCTTGGGTTGGTTCTAATTTGTTTAGCTACAATGAATAGTACCACAAAGGACATTTGTGTGTGGGTGGGGGAGGGGGTGTCTGTATGTATATTTGCATAACTCTCTTTATTGTTCCTCTGCTTTCCTAGAGTATAGTAAATAGTTGATTATTTGTCTCATGGTTCAGGGTTATGAGTGTGTCCTTCAACTTGTAAAAAATTGATGATTTTAGAAATAATGTAGGTGTTTAATTTACTTTATAATACACTAAAGGGCCTCAGAGACCTTCCTTTTGTAAATTTTAAATATTCTCAAGTTTCCTCTGATATTGCCACTTGGTACTTTTCATTTCTTTTTATTTTCTGTGATCCTGTGTCCACAAGTCCAGAAAACTACATAATCAATTATATTAAATTGTTTATGAAAAAAGATCACTGATTTAAGACAGTGCTCTCTGGATGATGAAGGCCTGAATGCAATCTGGAATGATTCAGGAGTAAGGGGGAATAAAAGAACCACCCGAAGGGAAAGGAGAAAGAGACCAGGCAAGGAAAGCAGCCAGTAAGGAATGTTTTATCCAGCAGTGTCACGCTGCCAGGAACATTCCTGCAAACAGTGTAAAATACACACTTCAGAACAGCCCCCTTATGGGATGGGGAGCTGGGTACTCAGAGTGAAAGCATGGGAAAAATCACGATTACTGTCCCACAGAAGAAAAATGTAAGTGACAATTCAATTGTCTTAAAAATAGAAGGGAATCCCCATTCATTTGCGATGTTCAGGTGACTAGTTCCTGAGGTGGAGAGGCTCATAATTCTCAGATCTTTTCACCATCTAAGGATCTAGGGTTCCCAATGGCTAGTTATCAAACAGAAGACAGCAGCTCTCTAATCTTTATTTCTTCTGAAGACGAGAAAGTGACTAAATTACAGCAGTGAGGACTTCTTAGACTTGGAAAAGTACTTGATGGGTAGTGAGGCGCATTAAACACAAAGTCCAAGTCCAACATTTCTTCTTCAAAAGGAACTCTTAGGACAGACTGAGACACCCTCAGCTGCGGTGGATCTTTGAGGGTGTTGAGAGGACTACATAAGTTATTAGGATATGGTACAGAAATGGTAGACTTCTATTGGAAAAGTGATTCTCCAGGAGAATTTTACTTTCTCTGTATAACACTTAATAAAAAGGCAACTGCAAAACTGGATATACTCAAATCTCTTCTACCAAGTTATGACTTCAATAATAGCAGTGTAGAATCAAGGCTTAGTTTAGAGATGGGGAAAAAAATCCTGACTTCAAATGCATACGTGCATATGTGTGTAATCAAAGCCCAAATTATATAAATATGTAGATTGTTCTTTTATGAACTGTCAGTTCTATATAATTGTATGTTCATTGGAGTTCATTATTAAGCATATGTTTTCTTTACAATTTTTCTAGCTATCAACATTATAACAAAGATAAAAAGTGACTTTTATAAATCTTAGCCTGTCTTTTCTTTTTACATTAAATGCCAGCAAAATCAAAATATTGATTCAGTGGCATTAGAATGATTTCCATGGTAACCAGCTTCTATTTAAGTAGGGGATTATGACTTCCCTGTGGATAAAAGTAAAAAGAACTGGACTTGTAGCAAAATGGCTTTTCAGGGCAGGGGGAAAAAAAAAAAAACTTGAACTCACACAAAAAATTATATATCAAGAAAAGTATAATTTAATGTTTAAACTTATAATTTTGTCACATTAAAAATATGCATTTACTACACTATTTTAGGATCTTCTACAATAGCAACAACTTTAAAAATGTATATAGTGGTGAGCATAAACTGGCAATCAGTATACTGTTAGTATTTTAATTACCCTTTTCTATTGTTTTTGTGTGGTACCTGCTTATTCTGAGGAAGGATTAGATGAAATAAAGGCTGTTCACCAGGAAGACTGAGCTGTGTCTCCTATGTGATCCAGCAGTGGAGGTGATCTCACATCAGTCATCCTTATTTCTCAATAATGTGCCTGTTAGAAATGCCATATGGCTTGGACAAAAGAGATTGAACTTAACAGGCAAACCTTAACTTTAGGCAAGTGATCCAGTAAGACTGTTTCTTTACCTTTAAAATGATTATAAAGAACTAAAAAGCACCCCCCACACACACACAGTTTTATGACAATCCAGTAAACTAATGTCAATGGCTGTGCATGGTAAAAAGAAACTGTTACACAAATAGAAGTTAATACTAGGAAGGTAAATTAGTACAGCTACTGTGGAAAACAATATGGAGCAAGAAATTAAAAATAGAATTACCATAGGACCTGGAAATCCCAGTGTTGGGTATGATATCCAAAGAAAATGAAACCAGTATGTTGAAGAGATATCTACACTCCATGTTCATAGAAGCACTATTCACAACAGCTAAGCTATGGATCAACCTAAGTGTCCATCCATACATAGATCAATGGATAAAGAAAACATGATATATACACAAGGAAATACTATTCAGCTACGAAAAGAAAATAAATCCTGTCTTTCATGGCAACAAGGGTGAGCCTGGAGGACACTATGTTAAGTGACACAAGCTGGGCACAGAAAGACAAATACAACTTGATCTCCCTTGTATGTGAAATGTAAAAGGTTGAACTTGTAGAAGCAGAGAATAGAATGATAGTTACCAGGGGCTAGGGTGGACGGGTGGGGATTAGGGAGATGTCAGTCAAAGGATACAAAATTTTAATTAGACAGAAGGAATCAGTTTAAAACATTTATTGTACAACACGATGACTATAGTTAATAATAATATATTTAATTCTTAAAAATCACTAAGAAGAGTAGATTTTAACTGTTCCCACCATAAAAAATTATAAGTATGTGAAATAATTCATATGTTAGCTAGCTCCACAAGGTATACATATTTCAAAACAACATGTTTTATATAATGAATATATACACTTTTTTGTCACAAAATTAATAAATAAATAGGAGGAAAAGCAAAAACAAACAACACCCCCAAAACCCCAAAATAAACAGGGAAATATTGCCCAGGTGTAATAATATTTTACTAATGTTATAATATTAATATAATACATAGTATATTTAATAAAACATTTTTATTAAACTTCAAGTATCTCTACACTTCAAAGTCTTAAAAAAAACACGTATTTTTAATTTCCATTTGTTACAATCTCTTCTTTAAGTCATTTTCAACCCTTAATTTATTGAATTATTTCATGACTGTCTCTTTACAAAACAATGGGGAAATACTTTTGAATTGGGATGATTCTCCTGATTTCTGATTTTATCTTTTAGACATGTATGTTAGAGTCATATCTTTTGAAAAAAAAACTGGAAAAT